GGGAATTTCCATTTATGAAGCTGATGCTTAGGTAAAGCTCCCATAGTTATGAAGCTGATGCTTAAGTAAAGCTGAGGGATTAAATTGCCGATGCTTAGATGAAGTTGAGAACTCTTACCTTATTCGCTTTCAACTTTCACCTAGGCATCGGCTTTATAGGTGGGGATGTCCCCTACTGATGGCGGGTTTTTCGCTTGCTTTTCTTGCTTTACTTTCTTTCTTGCTTCTACTTTTTCCTTGCTTTTACTTTTTTCCTTGCTTTCCTTCTTTCAAGCCATCACCTCCTCCCCTCTCCCTTACATGGCCTAGGCGACAGCCAGAGGATTTACGTCACGTAGCCATTCAATGTACCCATCCAACCCTCTCCCCCTACTTCGAATCCCTGCGCGCGAAACCCGCACACATCACCCCTCCTCCTCATCCCCATCATAACCCCTCCCCGTGTTTCGAATCCAACACCCAAAAGTGTGCTTATGCACTGCCAACCCTCTCTCCTCCCCCCACATATCTTCCATGACCTCTGCAGTGTACATCATCCCGTCTCCGCTCTCCCCTACGTGGCTACTCGACGTCCCCGCCCAACAATCCCTTCTCCCATGCCTTCGCCCCTCGCGGCCACCATCCTCACAGAATAGCCCCCACCATTTCCTCCTTTCACCGCTCCCGTGCCGTCCTCCCCTCCGTGTCCCCCACCGCTCCCTACTACACTTTCTGCGGGTTGCTCAGCAAATCGTGCAGTTGACGAGGCGAGCCGATCCGTACCGAGCCGAGCTTTAGTAATTGCTGTTTTTCATTTACCAGACCTGTTTTTTACTTAGATTTATTCAGATGTATTGCCGCACTTCTAAGTTTTGTATTTGAGGGATAAACATAAGCACCTCAACTTGGGGTCCTTGTTTCCGGGACCATTCCTTGAGTAACTCGTTAAGCTGATTCTTTGTTAGCTCATCTTGCCGCTTGAAAAGGCTGTAGTATTCTTCTCGTGCATCCTCTGATGCTGCCTTCAGGAAGTCCGGCAGCGTAGGTTCGTAGCAGTGTACTGGTGTCTGTGTTAGGGCAACAAAGCACAGCAAAAATGTTCCAGCGGTAGCGCCTCCCAAATGGCTTCGCATCATGCTGACCAGCAACTGTAAACTGCACGTGATTCTTGTGTCCACTAGGGATTTTCAGTGTAGAACAGTACGGCTAAGCGGCTACTTCAGTTTTTTCTGACTTCAACGCATTTTCGTTTCAGCGGTCAGCTTCGACACTGGATAATATTAGGGTGATCTGCAGAGAACTGCTACAAGGTACTGTCTAGGTTTGACCATTTGCACAGGAAAAGTACTTCTAAGAACAAAGCTTTTGAAAAATTTCACTTGGGGTGCATCTAAAAATTTTGAAAATTACCACGCTAATTTGGGAAGAATCGAAAACCCTAACTTCTCTTTCTATGAAGGACAGAGGCTTCTGAAACAGTGCAAATGATGGCTCTCTCTCCGCCAGTGCCAATTACATGTTTATGTGACTGTCGGTAACCTTGTCTTGCGAATCCTGACTGAGAATCAAACTCAAGGCACTGCTGGCCATTGCATGAGCTAGCAGCACTGAGTAGCTTCAGAACATTACGTCATATAGCACACTTACACATCTATCTACGAACCTACCTTTCCGTAGCACACCTACCTCTGATACAGTGCAGTTGTTGCAATGGTCCGTATAATGATTAAGTCTTTTTTATAAAATGTCATTTCAAAAATGTATGCAAATTTAAGAATCCGATATTACGCATATTTTTGTGTAAAAATCAAATAAAACAAGTCGAGTTTGTGCGCATAATTTTGTTATGCGTTTTTGCTGTACAGCACTAGAGCGAATGAACTTTGTCGCCCACTTTCAACCCAGCAACCAGGAAAGGTGGGAGGCTGAAATTGTGGGGGCATATTCCTGCCCCGTGTGTCACCCTCCCGTTTCAAAATCTTCGCTCATATGCGCTTGGACTCCGCGTAAAAACCCCCGAAAAGAATGCAAATTTCTTTGGCGGGAAACAATTTTAGGAACCAGGCAAGAGAGAACACTGTAACTTTGCAAGGATATTCCATGTGTTTGTATGAGCTAAAAATTTCAAATTCCGACATTGCGCATGCTTGCGCAGCGTGTACGGTCACGTCAAAGTTTGCACCTGTAACTGTACTAACTGGAAAACTAGCTGGAAAAGAGTGGCTGAAATTTTGTCAGAATATTTACCGTCCATATGGGAAACCGTATACTTAAAATGAGTTCCGACCTGCACTTGCGTCACGATTTTGGGGACTTCAAGCATATTTGCAGTGAATTGGCTATTTCGCTCACCAGATAATGTACAAGGCTCAAATTTCGCGCGAATATTCTACTTTCAAGTGCGGTCTTAATTCTGCTTGGAAGTATAATTCTCTACAGGTGGGTATGAGAAATACTCAACTTTACCACAAACTCAGAAACGAGTGCATTTTGCAGCGAATGACCACTGTCATACTCTCTCAAGATCCAGTTCATTTACATATCTAGATTTGGCGAATGACCGTTCTAGCAACATTTCCACTTTTCAGTAGGGAACTAGAACTGGGTGGTGGGAGAGGATGAAGGTGGTCGTTCGCTACAAAATGCATTCGATTCTGAGTGAAACCTGTGTAAAAAGCTAGGCAAAAGCGCATGCTCGTACCGAATAGCCTGGTGCGTTTCAGCCTGGGTTTAGTCTTTTAAAAGAACAGTGAAATTCAAACAATATGTGTCCTGATCTTTAAGCTATGAAAGTTAATTCTGCTTCTGGTTTTCGTTGTGCATCAAAACGGATTTTATACGTTTTTTGCATCCCTGATTAAATGCATATTGAAAAGTGCTTATCGATGTGTGTGCGTGTGTGTTCGGATTTCGACATTCACGTTCAACTCAGCAAAGAAAGGAGTAAGAAGCTGTAATTTACAAAGTTATTTCCGGTCCATAAGCAGCCCCATAAAGGTAATAAATGGCAACGCGCACCAGACTAGCCGGA